CCCGCCCCACCCATCGCCCCGCCCCTAGCCCCGCCCCGTCCTAGCCCCGCCCTAGCCCCTCGGAAAAAAGAGGCCAAAGGCTGCGGGAGCATCCTGGGTTCGCGCGTTCGCAGAGGCACGCCGGGCACCCTGCCCCGACTTCCCTCCCGGTGTTCCTTTCCCGCGGACAGGAGCGGGGCGCCGGGGACGCCTTGGGTGGGCGGAGGCTCTGGGCAACGCTGATTCGTGCCTGGCCCCTCTGATCCACCGTGGCCGAGCGGTCACTGCGCCTCCCACCACCGCGGCGCGACCCTGGCTGTCCCACAGCCGCCGCCTCCACACTCCGCTCAGAGTTGCCTCCTCTGTGAAAGACCTGGTCCCCAGTGTTGCCCCCGCGGAGTACCTGAGACTTGGGGGGCACGGACACCCCGGGGCCGCCCCCACCTCCCTAGGCCAGCGCACTGCCACCACCCACCCAGGAACCACACATCATCGGGCACAGCGGGGGCAGGGAGTCCCTTCCAGGGCCTTCTTGGTGCCAGCCTCCCCTCACCCCAGCTCTATTTCAGGCCCAGGAGAGGTGAGAAGGCAGTTCTCAGGAGGCGCTGAGAGCCACACCAGGAAGAGGTGACACCCTAGCCCTTGCTGCCCAGCCCCAGCTGCTCAGCCAGGTGGAGCAGATCCCCCACTGCAGAGAAGCTCCGGGGCCTGGGGCTCCTGGGAATGACTTCCTACTCCGCGGGAGTCCCTGCAAACTTGGAACCACCCTGGATGAACACTGCTTTCCCCTTCTCAGACGGAAACTGAGGCCCTGAGAGCCACCTGAGCCTCCCAAATCCAGAGACAGTCATGTCCCAAAGGGGCCCTGTCTCCACCTCCACCTATATCTCAGACCAGAGGTGTCTGGTCACCTATACCTCCCCTCCAGCCCACTCAGCATTCCCCATACCAGTGACACCCCATGCCCCAAGGCATGCTGGGCAATAGGGCCCTCAGTGGCCCAGGACCACACCACAATAACATCCGCTGCCCTGGGACCTTTGGCTTCCTGTGAGGCTGTTCCAGGTCCAGGATTAGCCTTGGTGGGGTTGATCACATGGTTCCTTGGGTCTGTGGCCCCTTCCTCCCTGGGTTCCCTGATCCAAACAGACCTGGCAGGACTTCTTTTTTATTTTTGGTAGTGCTGGGGATTGAACCTAGGGCCTTGTCCTGATCCACATCCACACCCTTTTAATTTTGAAGACTTTTGCTAAATTGTCCAGGGTGGCCTTGCACTGGTGACCCTCCAGCCATAGCCTCTGGCATAGCTGGGATTACAGGTGAAAACCACTGCATCTGACTGGCTAGACATCTCGTGCCTCCTTGGACCAAACCCTACTCTCCGACCCAAGGCGTTGTATCCTTTTGGCTCCCTTCCAGGTACCTGGTTGAAGGGTACTTTTCTTTAGACTCCCCCTGCCCAGGTGTCAGGCGTGGGCTCTGTCATCTCTCAGGTGGGTATGGGATTAGTAAAATCCTTAGTTACTGCGAGCTGATCAGGCCCACAACTTTCCAAGAGTACACAGCAAAGGCTTAAATAAATGAGATAAATGGTATGATTTTAGGGCTCCAGGAGGATACTCACCCTCTCACAGATATCTTCTGGGGTTTGGAACCAAGAACTTCTCTGCGTAGCCCTTATTAATAACTTTTCAAACAAAGGAAGAGTATACTGAAGAAAATGCCAGAGTCTAGGCAGGACTTGGGAGTCCCTTCAAGGGCTTCTCTAAGTAATGCGTGACGTTAATTCAGGAGGACTACGTGGTCTCCAGGAAGGATTTCACCCCAGGAGAAGTAGGCCCCTGAGTCTCCTTTTAGTTAGTTGAGATTGGAGGCAGGCATCCTCAGCGATGGCCTTGTTTTGTCCTTTGAGGTGTCCCAGCTTCACAGGCCTCAGTGGGGACTTACTATGAGGCCACCACCCATCTCCAGATAAGGGCCTAGGCCTTGGACACTCACATAAACACGGAAAGTCAGCTGGTTAATAGTGAATCCTGCTTCAAGCTGCTGTGTAGTGGTATCCAGCAGGTGGGGACTCCAGGAGCTGTCTCCCTCATGGCCTCCCCCCAGGGTTCCCCAGTGCCACTCTAACTCCATACCTGTGGCTGTTCCTTTAGTTCCCCTCATTGCTCTGCTGTGTTGGTGCCAGCTTGTCGCTTTTGCTGTGTGGCCCTGGCAGGGGTTGGGCTCTGATGTCCTCCCTGGAACCCCCAAGTTCCCAGGGCTGGACTTCTACCAGCATTCCATTTTCCTGCACGGCTGGGTTGACCCTGTCTTGGTGCTTGTGGGAAGCAGAGTGGCATTGCTGGCTGGCCAGGGTGGTGAGGCCGTGCTTAGGGCTCCACATCCCAGCCGTTCACTTCCAGGATGGACCTTGTACTGTGCTGGCCTCCCCAGCCCGCTTCCTGGACTTGGACTTGTGTGGTCAGTGTCATGGGCTGGCCCAGGGCCTGCTGAGAGCAGCACTCTAGCCCACGTGGCTCCCTGGCCCTCTGTGCCCAGCACATACCGATGGGGCCTGACGACATGCATGAGTTTGGGGAGCAGTGGACTGAGTGTGGGCAGAAAGTGCAGCCAGTTCTTCCCCATGGGCTCCGGGCTGGGGAGAGGATGCTCTTCCTGCTGAAGCCATGCAGACACCTCTAGAAGCTAGAGTCATTTGGGCACCGGGATCTCAGGCACTGTGTCCCCTGAGGCTGGTGGGTATGAACACGGTCACCGCTCCAGGCCCAACTGCACCTTCTCCTCATGAAAAGTAGGGCCATGGGGCACCTGGAATGTGGGATGCCGAGGGCAGGGAGGGGGAAGGGAGGCAAGTGCAAATCCTGTGCCCAGGAATATGTGGGGGTAGTTTGCTAAGTGCCCCTCGCGTGCACCTTTTAGATGGCGAAGGCTGAGTGCAGGCTTTGCCAGAGAGGCCACAGAGAAGGAGGACCTGGAACTCTTAGCTCCTGGCTCTGAAGCTCTTACCAGTCTTCTCAGGAATTTGGCCAGGCCTTGAAAAGGAGCCATCAGGGCTGAGCCTGGGGCCAGGAGTCTGGATTTGGTGCAGGGCAGGATGGGTGGCCTAGGTGGCTGCACACAGCAGAATCAGCCTTACTTCCTGGTGAGCTCAGAGATTACAGACAGCCAGGGTGCCACCCATGTGGGGTCTGCCATGGAAATAGGGAGAGACAGGAGGCTGTTGGCACCTTGGCAGTGCTCAGGGAGAGGGCTGAAGTCACTGCATGCACACCCCCGCTGAGGAGACCAGGACAGAGGGCTCGGGGCTTGCGCTGTCCTCCTCCTCCTGCGAGGTGGGGGTTCGACCCCAGCTCACGGCTGCACAGTGCCAGAGGCGGCTGGGTAATGACTTGAGGTGGGGCTGCCAGTGCTCACCCTGGCGGCCAGGGCACAGGGTCACGCAAGGCCGGGCCAGACAGGTGCCTGGCTGCCAGGACGGAGGTTCCAGGAAGGGAGGGCAGGAGGGGACAGGCACAGCTTCCTTTGGGATAGGACATGGATTGTGGGTGGGGTGAGAGGGACCTGGCAAGAGTGGTCCGAAAGCTCAGGGCAGTAACCACTCAGAAGTGACAGGCTCACTTTGAAAGTCTGAGCAAGGGAATGGGAGGGCTGAGGGCAAGACGAGGCCCCGCCCACGGGGCCCTAGTCCTGCCCTGCCAGGGGCCTGGCCAGCTCCTGGCAGTGGGGGTCGCCTCTGGCCACACCCTGCAGTGCCAGCTGGGACTGGGGCCTGGCAGATGTTCACTGTGACAGTTGGCAAGGTGCACTGCACTGGGGACAAGCTGAGCAAGCAGGTGGTGACCCAACAAGAGCCACCCAGGGGGCACCACTGTGGGGCAGTCTCCAAGAAAAGGGACATCCCCCGCGGAGATGCCCTGATGGGCAGGGAGCAGCCAGGGGCTGGCACCTTGGTCCCAGAGCCCGTAGCTACCCACACATCCGGAGCCAGAGCCTCCGCCACTTGTTATTAATGTATTTGTTTACATTTCCTGAGTCAAGGTTGTGCGATTTAATGAATGACACGCAGAGGCCAAGGAGGGCTTCCAAGGAGGCTGCACACGCTGCTACTCTATTTCCAAACTCCTGCCGGCTCCTTCCAGAGAGGAGGCAGAACCGCATCGGCTTCCGCAGCAGCGGCATTTAAAGACACAAACAAGCCCGGGAAGGGCGAGAAGAACCACAGTACAGATTGTGATGAGGAAAGAAAGTGGCCTAAGAATCAATAGCAAACCCATTTCTGTCTGCAGATTAATGGCTCACTGCGGAACGGGGCGGCAGGGAGGAGGGGGCAGTGATGGGCGCCGGCAGGTGAGGCGCCCTCCCAGCCTCGGTGGGCAGCTCAGCTGCAGCACCGGGAGGAAGGCAGAGGGTCCCCGAGGGTCTCTGCTAAGTGCGGGGTTGGGGGAGGGCGACTCATCTGCTTTGAAGACTCTGGGGCTGGAGCTGCAGCGCGTGGGGGGCTGGGGGAGGGGAGGAGGCTCCAGGAAGCCTGGCCACAGCTTGCAGGGAGGCGGCAGCTGGGCGGGGGCGGGGCGGGGGCCGCCCATGGCCTCCGCAGCCTCCTGCACCCGCTCCTGAGTGGTCCAGGTCCCGCAGCTGCTCCAGACCTCCCGCAGACACTGTCCGTCAGGACTGCCCAGCCCCCTCGGCCTGCGCACGGGCCTGGCCCCGGAGTCCTTGGCAGCGCCCTCCC